AAAAATATGCTTATAATAATAATCCTTGCATTTGATAGAACACCTTATCACTTTGTTGAGACATTTCAAAGCGCTTCACAGTCTATACTGTAGAGTGTAGTGACTGTGTATTTTGTGGGCAAAATTGATTTATATTTACAAGAACTACTTTAAAACACTTGTACAAATCATTTGTTTTGGCTTGCAGATTGTCTCAGAAATCACCAGAGGGAGGTAGAATCCTCAATAGTATCTTATGGAATCTGACATAGTTTCAAACTCCTCTGGATATAGGAACAGATCAAACTTCACATAATTGGATCTATTTTATAATAATAATCATATTATTATAATTACATTTAATAAAGCGCCTTTCATGTCTGGAGCTTGTCTCAATGTACTTCACAGTATGCACAATACAAAATTACATTTGTATAGTGCCTTTTATTGGAAGCACATCCCAAAGATTTTAAATATACTGTACTGCATGTTCTGTAAATTCGTGCTGCACACCCCCAGCACTATAAGGACGATAAGGCTCAAAGTCCTGATGTGGGACTTGAACCCACACCTCCTGACGCAGAGGTGAGAATACTACTAACTGAGCTTCTGTTGTTTCTCAGTATTTTAGTGAAGTACATATTAAACTGAATCTTGGTGGAACGCTGACAAGCTCCTTTGTTTCAATAGTTTAATCCAAAGCTTTCAGTTCAAATTAGCATTAGATCACAGTTAATTGCTGCTATGGTAGTTTAACAATGAGGCATTTAAAGGGTTGAAATAAATGTCAAATCATGACATAATATTAAAGTAACTGAATCATTAATATCCACACTGAACTCTCAGAGATGCTTCAAGTATAATATGTTGCCCTTCATTACACAAGACTTATATTTAAATCCAACCCGATAACTGCAATCATTACAAACTGGCAGCGATCATAAGCGAAATGAACAGTGATGACCTTTGCTTAACCTCATTCAGCAGTGGGGAGGTTGATCTTATTGGAACATTGTTTTGTCTTGTTGCAAAATGGTAAGAGGAGGAAATGTAGTGAACAGTGTTAAAGAGGAAGTTTCAAATACTTTTTAGCCTAGTCAAATCAGGCTACCTTATCTTCGGAGTGATAACTTGCAATTGTGTAGCGCCCGTCACAGAGTAATGTCTCAGAGCACTTTACAAGGTTGGGGTCGGACACTGAGAAATATAGAGGGGACCGGAGGGACTGGATCATAGGCACATTCAAAGAGGTAGGTTTTAAAGCAGGACTTCAAGACAGATTGAGAAGAAGTGAGTGAGTGGGAGGTTTGGGGGTAGAATCTGAAGGCTTAGCCACTAGTAGTGCAGAGGATAGGGACATGCAGTAACCCGAGTTAGTAGAGTAGTGAGCAGTTCCTATCCATACCATAACACACCTTCTCCCAAGCTGGCTTTAAACCCCACCTTGAAATCTATCTCTTCAACCACATACATCTATGGTCACCTCCCTCTTTCTCCCTAGCTCAGCATCCAACCCTGCCAACTGTGAAGCACTCAAAAGTATTATCTTGTGTGCAGGGTGCTATATTAATGCAAGTTGTTCAGTAAGTTAGAAGATCAGAGAGAAAAGAGGTGCTGGGGCATAGAGGGACGTGTCTATTATTGATTATTTAATCAATAATCTACACTACGCATTGTGGAGTCCTGTAACTCAGTGGTTAGAGCACTCGCTTTGCAAGTGAGAGACCTGAGTTCAATTCCAGGCAGAGGGCGAAACCTTGGGCAAGTTTCCCTTACTCCACACACCTAATAATAATCCCTCCAAAACCAAAAACAATAATAAATTGGTCATTTTCAATCTACGACTGTTTGTGGGACATTGCTGTGTGCAATTGGCTGCCGCGTTCGCCCACAAATATACAGTCAATTCACTTTACAGTGTGTTCTGTGAAGCGCTTTGGGATGTCCTCCCGACGTGAAAAGCGCTATATCAAATCCAAGGATTATTATTATTATTATTATTAATGCAATACAGCCGGTAAGTGCACATGCGGTCATAGGTCAAGACTACATTTCTCGCAATTCAATGCATCTTAACCCGTCGCCGCATGCGCATTGAATTGCGGGAAATTAAGTTCTTCTGTGCATGAGTCGACTGACCAAGAGTATGTTTCCTATTCGGTAAATGCGCATGTGTTGATGGATCAGGACGTCATTTCCCGTTTTTCAGTGCAGCTGGTAAGTGCGGGAGTAATGGAAGGTAGTGGAGCAGTGTTACAACAACTTGCATTTATACAGCGCCCCTCATGCAGGGTAGGGTCCCAGAGTGCTTAAACAAGTTACGAGTTAGGATAATATGAGCAGTCCAAAGAAATTTAAGTGGCTTTGATAGGAAACTGGGACTCGGGTGCATATACAAATATAGGTAATTGTCTGATTTATAAAGATGATTTATGCAAGTTTTACTCTATTTGTACCTTGACCATGATACTTGCCAGTTCTTTGTGCAAGTAAGTTACATGGCTCTATTTTTAATGATAGACTAGACTGTATAAGAGTGTTTGATATAATAGACTGGCTTTTTCTCATTTCATTCCTGTGATGCAAAATAACTGCACCGAAACACAATGCAAATAAATATTCTTCCCTTAAAGCAGCGGAAACCACATAAATTCAACAAACCAAACTGACAGAATAAGTGAACTAATTCACATAAACTACTTGACAAACTTAACGAACAAGCTACAAAAATAACAACTAATCCACAGAATAAAACCTAGAATCTAACAGCACTAATTTACAAAACTATTAGACAAGCTAATCAGCAGAATAATACAATGGACTAATTTACTGAACTATGTTAGTGATAGAAGTAAGTGATAGACAGTAGATTTTTTTAAGCAATGGAATCTATTGTTCCTTTTTTTGTTATGTACCTTTTGCAGTTTTATTATCTTGCGGGCAGGCAGGGCATATCTTATTAGTACCTTTAATCCATGAAATACCTTTAATAGTCCCGTTGTTCTAGTTGTTCTTATCAAACTCTCTGGGGATTCGTCCATATAATCATTGTTTCTGCAGATTAGTGAGAATTCTTACATTGTGTAATCTGTGGATTTAGTTGTACACTATAATATACCCTGGATTAGTTATACCGATTTTTATTACATACAGAGTCTATAGATTAGTTTGTAGATTTATTCTTATATTGTTCTGTAGTTAATTCTTAAACTATTCTGCTCTGTGGATGACCCTTACATTAATTACTCTTCATCATTTCTTCCCGCCTTATCGTGCTTCAACACTATTGTGCAGTTTTGCATTGAGTTGTGGATTAATTTGATGTTTAGTTGTTATCAAGTTCGTCAATTAGTCTTGAGGATTATGACTGGATAAGGCCTGTAGATCTGTTCTCACCGTTGATGAGTTTCAGATCATTTCTTACATTGTATATCTTATTATCTCCTACGTCCTGCCCTGTTGTTTAGCATATTCACCCACAAATATGCAGTCAATTCGCTTTACAGTATATTCTGTGAAGCACTTTGAGACGTCTTGAAGATGTGAAAAGCACTATATCAAATGCAAGGTTTTATTATTATTATATTTGGTTAGTTTGCCATTTTATTTCTTATGTAATTTGTAAATTATATTGTGTATTACTGACATGGGTTTTTCTTGCATCTATTTCTTGTTCTGTCTGTTGATTAGTTTGCAAATTATTATATAAGAGTGCACAAGATCATTGCATACCACCTGGCCGGACTCAAACATAAAAATATCTCTCACACACCACAGATGATTTCTTTCACCAAATTGCTATCTATTTCTCTCTAAATCTGCTGTTGTTTTGGTCATTTCATACTTTTTTTAAACAAAATATATAATTTTATTTGTTGCGGGTGAGGGGGTGTGGGGGTTGCCTCTGCACTCTCCACTTTGGTGAAGTGATCAAGACTTCCCTGCCTTACATAGTGTAGATGTAAAGGTATGCTGTATTTTATACCTACTTTACACTCCAAAATGTGGACTGTTATATACTGCTCTGTCCCCACTTTTAAAGTTCACCTCAAGACTTACCTCTTTGACCACACTTTCGGTCCCCATGCTCTGTAGCCCCACACCCGTGTGCAGGTGCCCAGCCTGTGTGTCCTCCTGATGCGAAAGACACTATATAATGAATTGTTATTGTGGAATTTGTACATGTTTTCAATTGTGTCGCGTTCGTGTGATGTTTGTGTACTGCACCTTGAAGTGTGGCTGGAGGAACCTAGGGAAATGGAGGCTTCAGATTAGTTTAATTCTCGCCAGTGTACAATATTGACTGTCATAATGGTGACATCGAGGGTCAATTTGAGAGAATCTTATTACCAAAGTCAACGAGTCACATGAAGGTTCTCTATTCAAACTAGTCGGCTTGCAAGAAAATTGTGAATAACAACACAATTTTTTTTATCTGGGTGATTGTTGGTCAGGACTCCAGGAGAAACTGGTTAGATCACGCTAAGCGAGAGGACCCAGATTTGATTCCTGGGTAGGGCGAAACCTTAGGCAAGTTTCCTTAGTTCACACACCTCTGTTTACTCAGCAGTAAATAGGAACCTGGTTGTCAGTTGATTGGCGGATCGCTTTCCGGGGATAATAAAAATTTGGTCACTCAATCCACGGCTGTTTGTGGGACACTGCTGCGCTTAGTCGGCTGCCGCGTTGCGCCCACAAAGTACACGGTCAAGTTCACTTCACCATATATTCTGTGAAGCTCTTTGAGACGTCTCAACGACGCGGTAAGAAGGCGCTGTATGAAATGCAAGGATCATTATTATCAGGAGATGCGATTTGTCGCTGCTGCTGCTGCTGTTTAGCTCCCAGTGGGTGAAGAAAACCACTGGATCTGAAACCAAAGCAGAGGGCGTGTCTCTGAGCAGCCAAACCTCCCTCTGTCCCTCTCCTCTCTCTCTCTGCATCTGTAGCCTCTCAGCTCAGCCTCAGTGCAGAGTCAGTGAGGGAGTGAGTGAGTGACCTGTCCTCTCCTCTCCGCAGTGATGGGCTCTCCATGCCCAGACAGCGACAAGCAGCCTCTGGGGGGGTCGGGCTGCTGTAATGCAGAGCTGGGGCACACGAACCCCCCCAGCCCCGGCCCCAGCCCCAGCACCAGCACCAGCACCAGTCCGGGTGACCCCTCCTCTCCCTGTCTGCTGGAGCGGTCTCTGCTGCTGGAGGAGGAGGAGGAGGTGGTGGTGGAGGCTGAGGTGGGCTCGGGGCGCAGGAGGAGAAGGGAGTTCACCCCCGAGGAGGAGAAGGACGCCGGCTACTGGGACAAGAGGAGGAAGAACAACGAGGCGGCCAAGAGGTCGCGGCAGAAGCGGCGGCTGAACGACCTGCTGCTGGAGAGCCGGCTGCTGGGGCTGCTGGAGGAGAACGCCAGGCTCAAAGCCACGCTGCTGGCGCTCAGGTTCCGCTTCGGGCTGGTCAGCGACCCCGACCCCGCGGCTCAGGGCACCCGCTTCCACCAGCCCCGACCCCGGCTCCAGCAGCAGCTCCAGCAGCAGCTCCAGCACAGGGCGCGGGGCGACGGGGGCTCGCTGCTGGCTGCAGACCTGCAGCACCAGCAGCAGCACCAGCGGCTGCAGCAGCAACTGCAAACGTGCCGGCAGCCACCCCAACACCAGCAGCCACCCCAACACCAGCAGCCACCCCAACACCAGCAGCCACCCCAACACCAGCAGCCACCCCAACACCAGCAGCCACCCCACACCAGCCACCCCACACCAACAGCCACCCAACACCAGCAGCCACCCCAACACCAGCAGCCACCCCAACACCAGCAGCCACCCCAACACCAGCAGCCAACACCAGCAGCCAACACCAGCAGCCACCCCAACACCAGCAGCCACCACACCAGCAGCCACCCAACACCAGCAGCCACCCCAACACCAGCAGCCACCCAACACCAGCAGCCACCCAACCACAGCACCCACCCAGCAGCCCAACACCAGCAGCCACCCAACACCAGCAGCAACACCAGCAGCAACACCAGCAGCAACACCAGCAGCCAACACCAGCAGCCAACACCAACAGCAACACCAGCAGCAACACCAGCAGCAACACCAGCAGCCACATCACCAGCAGCCACACCAACACCAGCAGCAGCAACACCAGCAGCCACCCCAACACCAGCAGCCACCCCAACACCAACAGCAGCAACACCAGCAGCCACCCCAACACCAGCAGCCACACCAACACCAGCAACACCAGCAGCCACACCAACAGCAGGAGCAACAAAACCAACTCCAGCCTCGCCCCCCAGCAGAGCACAGCCCTCACCCAGCGCTGCCTTACAAAAGCCTCCAGCAGCCACACCAGCAGCAGCAGGAGCCAGGGGTGACCACCCACCACCAACACCAGCAGCTACACCAACGCCAACAGCTCCAACTCCCAGCCCAGCAGCCTCCTTCCTCCTGCTGGAGCCTCTCCTCCTCCTCCTCTGCTCTCCAAGAGCCAGGCAGCCCCCTGCACCTCCTCTGCCCTCCTCCTGCTATTGCAACAACAACAACAACAACAACCACCCCAGCCCAGCCGCCTATCCCCGGGGGAGAAACCAGCAGGTCGGGAGCTTCCCTGGACCTGCTGCTCCTTCTGATGGGAGGAGGTGGCGGAGGCGCTGGTGTGGGTGTGGGTGGGGAGCAACCTCAGGCTGACAACCCCCCAGGGGAGGACTGGGTCAGGAGTTTACCCCATAAACTCCGGCTGAAAATCTCCTCGGGCATCGCTGCAGGGGTGGGGGCGGGAGGGGGAGCAGAGGAGGGGGTGATGGAGGAGGAGGAGGGGGTGATGGAGGGGGAGGGGGGCTGCTCCCCTCCACAGCTGCAGGTTTGCTCAGCAAAGTGCGCAGAGCCGTTGCCGCTGTCCCCGCGTGTCACAGCCGCCCAGAGCGGGCGAGGCAGGAGCCCGAGTGTCGGGGTGGTCAGCCCCACCTGGAGACTCCTCCTGCACCGCACCGAGCAGCGGGGACAAGCCGCAGCCTCCAGCCCCCACCACCAGCAGCAGCAGCACAACCAGCAGCAGGAGGAGCGGGAGCAGCAGTTACAACAACAGAAACTACAGCATTTGCAACAGCTGCAGGAGATGAAGGAGTTGGGGAGGGAGAAGGAGGAGGTGGTGGTGGTGGACGCCGCAGCTGACGGGCGCTGCTCCTGCAGAGCCTGTGCCGACAGGGAGGAGAACCAGAGCCAGAAGCAACTCCGCCACCACTTGGCCACACTGTCTGCAGAGGTGCAGCAGCTCAAGAGACTGCTCTTCACACAGGCTGCTTCTGCCTGAGAGATCACTCACTCCCTGAGGGTGGGGGGTGAGGTTTGCATCCACAATGCCATGACTTTCTAACCTTTATTGGGGGGTGGGTTTATAGTGCGTTTTTTTTGCATTTCACATGTTTTTTTGCTGTATGGCTGGTCAATTTGTTAACACATTCCAATTTGATGATTACAGCATTCTCACCCCACCCCACCATCACCCCCCAATTACATTTTTTTTGATGAATCGTCGGGCAATTGGTTCTGTTTTGGGCGGTGTTTTTGTCTAAACATTGATGGGCGGTAGGCGATGGGTCCTGAGTGTGAAAATATATTGTTTTGGTTTGGGCTATAACGGTGCTTATTGAAAGTGATGAGAAAATATCTGCCCTGGGGTTCAAATAGGTCAGAAAGTTACCTTGAATGCTGTGTTGTAGTTGAATAATAATAATCCTTACATATGATATAGCACCTTATCACATTGTTAAGACGTCTCAAAGCGCTTCACAGAATATACTGTGATGTGGATTAATAATAATAATTAATTGTAACAATTGAAATGTTACAAGCAAAGTTTAAACTGCTCGAGAAACAAAATGTTCAAAATGACAGTAATTGTACTGCAGAACAAGCAGCATACACTAAATCATAGAATCAGAATCATACACCACAAAAAGAGGCCATTCGGCCCATCGAGTCTGTGCCGGCTCTTTGAAAAGAGCAATGTAATTAATAATATTTTTATTTGGTGTGGTGCCTATAACATCAAAACGTCCTGTAGAGCTTGACACTAGCTTGCTGTCAAGTGTAGTAATTCCGTGTGTGTCAGTAATGCTGTGACCCAACCGAGCCAGTGTTACAACAAACTAAGCCAGACTGCCACCAAATTATGTTTAAACTATGGGTGTCCACTTCTCACCCAAGTTAGTATTATTAAAGCAGTAGGTGGCATCTTGTCTCTTCTGCCTGGCTTGTGCAACTCTTTGCATTAGTGAGTTGGAGTTCTTTCGCAGTGAGCCCCTGAGTTGCACACCTTCTTCATCTTTCCCAAGGCGTTGGGACATCCTCCCGACTCTATACATTTGTAATTTGTTGTTGTTTCACATGTCCCTGACAGTCTTATCCCTACCCTGTGAACTGGGCAATTTAAAGTAATGGTATAGATCTACATCCAAGCCCTGGAGGATGGACGTTTGATGAAGAAAATGTGCTGAGTGGATCTGTGGGTAACATTTGATTGAAAGCTTCAAGTAAGGAGAATTCTCATGATCTTAGCCTTAGGACCATTGTCTTAATACTTAAAGTCAAGCAGAATCTTTGACAACTCTTAAATTTAGTATTACGTTGGAAGTCATTTTTCCTGTGGTTCTTTAGAAAAGGTTTAATTTTTAGGAATTTGCCATTTTTTTTTGCATTTAACAGTTTTTTCTGTATAGCTGGTCAATTCGCAAACACATTAGTGTTAATTCTACATTTTAAGAAAATGGTTTTAAACCTAAAACCTTCTGAAATTTTAGGTCACTGCCTCAATTCTCATGTTTTAACCAGGGCTTCAAATCCAACATAGACTTCCCAGAAAAAGGGGTAAATTCTCCTTTGGGAACCATGGCTTTTCTTAGTTTAAGGTGATGTAGGATATATTCCGCCCATCACGACCCATGTGAGATTGACAAGCTCAGCAGAGGCCAGGACTTGAGCTTGGGATCTTTCTTAGCTTTTATGCCTCTGTTGTCCTCAGTTATCACTACATACTGAAAGTGGCCATCTCCCTGGCAGAGCAAGACAGGACAAATATTGGTCATAGTATCTCTTCTATTCACACTTCATAAGCGATACCTCTTGCTATGGACTTTCCAATGTTGATAAGATTCAATGCAACATACATAAGGTGCTTTGAGGAGTAAATTAGTATCAAATGACTGATTAAATTGAAATGATTAACTGTTGGTGCTTGAAATAATGGGGTCTAATTTGCAGATTTTCTTAATGGCTTTCTTAATACTTAAGTCTTAAGTTGTGGTAATATAAAATGTGTTGAATTCACATTCAGCACAGTGAATGTGCTGAATAGTATTTTCCTCATCACCACGTTCAGTGGTTTAGAAATTTCATAATTCAGTACATTTGATAGATTAAAACTTTACAGATTACAAAATCCTGCAAACTACTGGAATTTGTTTCCCACCGCAGCTGCATGACTTTTGATTTATTTTAAATGGTGTGTGAAGTTAGTTGCTGTATTGCAAATTGCTTATGTGAATCCTGGAATTTGGCAAAATGAGCTTTGGTTGCAAAACAGAGCATCTTCTTTTCCTTTTTGATCGAGTCTTTTTTCCTTTTCCAGCCTGAAAATTAACCTTAAATTATCAGGGAATAGCCACCTCACTCCCTATTGCATTTTAATGTTGTTGTGAGGTAATGCTGTGTTCTGTTTTTATTCTCCCGGGAACGTTAACTTTTCATTTTGAATAGCGCCAAATCCATTTGATTTACAACCGCCTCAATGCAGGGACGAAGGTTTCCAGATTTATCCTTGTTTTTGCTACAAATTCTCGCTGCAGATATTTTGTATTGATAGAACTGCCAACATTATTATTTTTGTAAGTATAGAATTCTAAGTTTTGAAACAGAAAATGTTTTGGATGTCATTAGAGTTCAAAGATAATTTTGCTATAGTTCCTATAAATGCGATCTTCCAATCCTTTTTGTATTTCTTTGCAGATGAAGAAAAAGATTAATATTTTGATTTTTCTATTGAACGCTTGCTATGTTTTTTTAACAATGTATTTATTTTTACAAAATAGTAATTCCTGTACTTTGCTACAAGTTCTTTTAAAGGTTTAATAAACTTATGTTAAATTTTTAAGCAGTCTACATTTTTTTTAAAGGCATTGTTTTCCTCTTCCTGTATTTCCTTCACACACTCGGGCAGCTCTCAACCAGATAACGTTAAACACAAGCAGATGTCCCTTCTGCAATGAACCACCAGTGGCCATCATGGAATCCTGTTAGCTTAGTGGTTAGCGTGCTTGCCGAGCTCGATTCCCAGGCTGAGGGACACCGTAGGCAAGTTTCTTTTCTCCACGTTTCCTTGTTTACCTAGCAGTAAGAAGGAAACAGGTTGTTAGTTGATTGACGGATTGCTTTCCCAGGGGTAGTAATCCCTCAAAAAAATGTGGTCACTCAATCCACGACTGTTTGTAGGACACTGTTGTGCGCAATTGGCTGCTATGTGTCGCTCACAAAATCTACTATTCTGGAAAGCGCTTTGAGTCGTCTCAATGACATGATACTGCATTTACATCAAATGCAAAGATTATTATTGTTATTTGTTACAGTCTTATAATGAGCTCAGCAATTTTCTAACCATGCTGCTTAAAATTTTCTTTTGGCAAACCAGGAAAATTGCATTTCCACACCAGTCTTACCAGCTTTAATCTTGTGAATTTATGTCTTAATCTATTTTGGTTAAATATAGTGCATTTTGTATTGTTTAAATAGAACTAAAAGTTTATAAAATAACATAAAGCAAATGTAAGTTAAATTGATATCAATGGCTATGAGTTTGGAATCGGATGAGAGAATTGCAGGCTAATATTGGAACAATAGTTCCAATATTAATATTAATACAATAAAAATAAATGAAAAAAAACACTTTTCATTCAGGGCCTAAACACGTTCATGCTCATGCAAACACAAGATCGCTTTTTAATTAGTAAAAATATATTATTTGGTCCTAGGATGTAAATAATAAAATAACAATATGATCCTAGCATTTGATATAGCGCCTTATCACATTGTTGCGACGTCTCAAAGCACTTCACAGAATATATTGTAAAGTGGATTGACTGTGTATTTTGTAGATGAAATGCAGCAGCCAATTGCAAACAGCAGTCTTCCACAAACAGTCGTAGACTGAGTGACCACATTTTTGGTGGGAGTATTACACCCAGGAAGTGATCCGCCAATCGACTAACAAAAGGGTTTTCACTTTCTGCTGGGTAAAAAGGCATGTGGAATAAGGAAACTTGCCTAAGGTTTCCCCCAGCCAGGGAATCAAACCCGTGTCTTCTCACTTGCCAGGCGAGCGAGCTAACCACTACGTTACAGGACTCCGTGAATGATGTACTTTTTCTCATACTCTGATCAAAGGAATATTTTACAAATATTAATCTGGTGTTAGCTGAACCAAATTATTTTCCACTCAATGTTTTGTGTCAAAGAAAGGTACATGTAACCTTTACTCACTTCAAGATTGAATTGCCTCTATCATTGCTATTTCACATACACCTTAGGTAATACCATAAGACACCATGTATGAGCTATTGTTCTGACTACCTCTCGCCTTTGGATTATTTTTTCATCCTGTAAAATTACCCGTGAATCAAAGACATTGAATAACTATTTTTGTAATGAAAATTAAAATAGATGTGTTTTCTGCAGAATGCTCCTTAAATGCACATCATCCTCAAGCTATTTTCATCAGCACTGCATGAGGATAGGGAAAGAATTGTTAAAGTATTAAACTATTAAATTAAAGTATAGGGAAAGTATTATCAAATTAGCTGCCATGAATATTAAATTGTATTTTAAAAAATGTTTGGCGAAATCAGTTACCTGTTACTGAAGCACTTCCTTCTAACATCCTTCCTAATTTGGGAGAGTATTAGGCTCAATTTGTTGAGAACCAAGTCTGAAAGCCTCACCCTAACCCCGGAGTGTGCGTTGGAGTATGGCTGGAATCTAACCAACTAAAACCACATAGCTTGACATTGAGAGAACTGTCTGGCAAGCTTCCTGCTGCTTGTACAGCAAGGACCATCCTACCAATTTGGGCTTTTGCTTACAGGATTAATAGTAGTTGAGTGCGAAGAGTACTTGCTCCCTCCAGTCTGCCCCTCCGAGTCCTGCCAATGAGGCAGGCTGGTCAATCATCAACTTGGAGTACTGCTGAAGTGTCAAATGGTCAGCAAAATCTCACTTCATTGTGGGTTAAAGGGGTGAAATAATATTGTGAACTTAAGTCCT